TGTCTTTCTTCTTGTTTGTATTTGTGGAGCAACTCTAGGCAAAGTCTATCTCAAACATCAGACCCTTTGGGAAGCCTTCTCAGTCTGCCCCTCTCAATTCTTGGCATCTCCCCTGAGCTTTGGGGGCCAGTTTTTTAGCGACATTCACGACCTGTGAGTCTGACTCACACTCAACATTCCCATTTCTCATGGCACACTATAGTCCTCTACTTCTGACGTGCTCAAAGATAAGCACTGAAAATCAAAGAACCATTCCTTGCCTTCTTTTCTTCACATTTTAATCATTCTAACTACATTAGCTATTAAGCTGCATCCTATTAAGTTATACTGAATTAACAATTGACAAACGTTCAATTTCATTGTATTACTATATAATGGGTCCATTTATTAAACTCAAATATAGAACTGAATCTACTCTGTGGGAGACACTGTAGGTTACATCATCTAATCATCCTTTTCTGCTGTAGTGTCTCACACAGGCTGCATGTGCTAAGATCCTTGCTTATGTAGCCTCCCTTGCTGCCAGGAATGGCCAGGTGGCACAGCTGTAACCAATGCAATGAAGCAGAGTGTGTTGGTGTATTTCATTCTTCCCTCCTTTCTCACCGTCTCGCACATGGATGTGATAACGGAAGCTGCACCAGCCACCTTGAGACCATGAGCAAAAATTCAAGAGACTTGAAGTGACTTTAGACCTGAAATTAATGAGGTCTTTCAGTAATGCCAGCTGGCACCTACCTCCAAGACTTCTTTTTTGTTTATGGTTTTTTTTGTAGACACAGAGTCTCACCTTATCGCCCTCGGTAGAGTGCCGTAGTGTCACACCTCACAGCAACCTCCAGCTCCTGGGCTTAGGTGATTCTCTTGCCTTAGCCTCCCAAGTAGCTGGGACTACAGGCGCCCACCACAACACCCAGCTATTTTTCTTATTGCAGTTAGGCTGAGGCTGGGTTCGAATCCACCACCCTTGGTATATGGGGCCAGCATCCTACTCACAGAGCCACAGGCGCCACCCCCCTCCAAAACTTCTTGTGGTGAAAAAAATAAACTCTTAATTTATGTGAGCCACTGTGGTTAGGCTTTCTGTTTATTTCCAAATAATACTAGCAATTACATCTTGTTGTGTCCCTTTTGCAACTGGGTTTCCAGAGTATAGGACACATGATAGTCTCTTATGATTATTTTAGATTTTGATCATCACATTATAATACATACTACTAGCTGCCTACCCAATAGCTACTCTCTACTTCTTCCTAACAAACCCCAATTCTATTTACAGTGGCAAGGTACTCACTTAAAAAAATTCATACTCTCACTTTCTTGGATTTGGAGTTGTCCAACCAACATAGCCAACCAGATGTAAATAAAAATCTACTATGTGAAGCTTCCCAGAAAAAGACATTGTTTTCCTGGCTCAGCGCCCGTAGCACAGTAGTTACAATGCCAGCCACATACACTGAGGGTGGCGGGTTCAAATCCGGCCTGGGCCAGCTAAACAACTGCAACAAAAACATAGCCAAGCGTTGTGATGGGTGCCTGTAGTCCCAGCTACTTGGGAGGCTGAGGCAAGAGAATCGCTTGAGCCCAAGAGTTTGAGGTTGCTGTGAATTGTGATGCCATGGCACTCTATCAAAAAAAAAAAAAAAATACGTTGTTTTCCTGACAAAAAAGGACAGGATTGGGTGGCACTCACAGTGAGCCCTTAACCCATCTGCTTG